GGCCTGCAGAGACAAACTACTATTGCATGAGAAGAAACAGGGTGGATGCGACTGCCTGAGGGGCTGAGTTAACAGTTAAAGGCCGGTGAAGTGACATCCCATCCACCCGCTGACTCCCAACAAGTCACGACTGCAAAACGCAGCAGGTACGGGAAGCGCAGCGCTGAACCCGCCTGCTAGCACGAACACGCTGCACTTGTCTTGTTTTAGGCGATGGGGGGAGATTATTAAAAAAACAACGAACGAGTGAGACGACATCCAGGAAACGCAGGGAGCTTACAGTCTCTCACGCATTTACCGCTAGCTCATAATGTTAGCCAAGGTAGCGAGATTAAACCACAGAGATAGGCTATGATTCGCTAGCTTCCAGTAATTTCATGTCACCTGAACTACCCCCTCCGTGGCGTAATTTAAAATAAAGAATACGTCAAGCGTCGCAGCTATATAAAAAAATAACAAACTTACATGTACGTCTAGATGTATGGCTTTATGTCATTACTAAATGGACAGAAGGAAAAGGACTACCATCTTACCGTTTCCGCGCCGGGTTGGTACTCCGCTGTCACAACAAAATCCTTCCCAGTATGTTGGCAAAATGGTACGTTCCGATTCCGACGAAAATGAACCCCATTAATATGGCAAGCCGTTGTAACACAYATTCACGCTCATCATTTGGTTAAGTAGACAGATGCAACACATTTCTATGAGCTTTATACATAACCTGAAGAATGTTATAATCAACCAACTCATGAAATTTTAACAATTTTAATTGATTAAACAATATATTAGAAGGGTGATACTAATGCTTTCTTGTAATAATTCTTATAGCTCTTTTTTGTAAAACAAAAATAGGATTAATAATGGTTTTACATGCATTTTCCCCAGACGTCTATGCAATAATGACATCTGCAAACATCATTATCATTGAGGATTCCTGCCTGACCTAATCTGTCTGTCCATCCACAGAGCACAAAAAGAGCAYCAGTGCTGACCCTTGAAGGCCGAAGCGAGTACATAATGCAGCGTCGCCTCCRCCTATCTGTCCATCTTTGCAGCTCATCTTATATTTATTACAGTAAATATTATCATAATGGCGGATGTAAATGATGAACTGCACTCTGTGTCAATAACACACTGATTGTGACCAGAAAGAACTGAAATGTTTATTTTTTAACCATAGTCAACAATTATATTACTAATTGGCTTGCCATATTTATTACCGTAATACCTATGAAACAACAAATTTGCTTSGTACGGAAGTAGTATTTAGAGTGAGAATTTTCAACCAGCAGCAAGCAGCATTTAGTAAACGTTCATTGGGGGAGTTTCAAATACGTGTGCATAACAGCCTGACAAGTTCCGCACAAACAGTGACAAAATGTACATGTTTTTAGCGCTCTCTTGTGCTTTATTTTGAAATTGAAGCGTGCCGTTCTGTGCTGCCTTACTTATGAGTGACAGTGGCTGYTAACGAATCAATGCAGGTTTAAGCACGGCTGGCCAATCATATGTTAGTAAAGGCGGGCTCCTGAGCTTTCGTATCTCTGAAAACCAGACTGACCAGTCGTAAACAGTACACACCAGTGCTCCGGTGTCATAACCAGGCAATAACATGAACAAAACGAGTATTTAAACAGGTACGTGTTATAATTTATTATCCTACAAACATTTTAGGTGTAAAGTAAATGTACTGTTACGCTTTTGTATCTTTTTTACGTGTTATTAACCTGATTCTGCTCATCCTGAAGCATAACCTGGTTCTGCATTCACTGGAACCTAAAATACATCATGTGATTGTTTAATAATTTCTGAGTCATGTTTGCAATCATCAGTTAATCTCTGATTATGTTTTTTTTTATGACTGTCAAACCAGCTGAATAATTGTTAACTTTAACATCTAATTCAGTAGCAATCCTGTATTTCCTCTGTTTTAAAAGCCCAAATGAGTGGACATCTGTTTGTCATCCTATGTGCAACAAAAAACAAAACAAAAACAACAACATTGTATTGCAGAAATAGGGCTTTTATCACATGTTTTAAAGATCTGTCTCATATTTGTCCAAGCTTGTTCACAGAATGACACTTATCTGTGTTCGTTTGATCCTATAAATAGTCTTACCTCTCTTTTCAGGGCCCTTTTTTTAAAAAATCCCCTCAACATGAAGCGCCTTTACTTCGTGGAGCCTGTGGTGGCCCTGTATGCTTTCAGCTGTTTTCTCATCTACCCGCTGGTGCAGCAGTACGTATACAGGAGGCTTTGGGTGCAGCTGACCAACACCAGCTATCCGGTCTCTGACAACACCTCCAGATGTGCAGCAAGTAACAGCAGCAACCACACAAACCTGCACAAGGTTTGTTTTAAGTCACGACATGAAGCTTTATTACTTTATCAAGTAGTTTGACCAAAATAAGCTAAGAATGGGTCGATTTTCCACCTTTTCTGTCAATACAGCTTTCATTATAACCCTCTAATCATTTTATAACTCGAAATATTAAGTCGTAATTTTTAATCAGCCCAGATTAATCTCATTAATTTGAATGTACAATATAAGAAGGAAAATAAAACACTTTTTTTATATTAGGCTACATTTTATGTGTGCATACTTTTTAATAAGTAAGGAAGTGAAAAACACTCCTCAGTTTTTAACCAAAGACACCTGCACAAATAGAATTTTTTTTTAGCTCAAGGAAACCTCAAACGGAACATCTGCAAATGCTCATTCTTTGCGTGCAGTGTTCCTTTCAGCTGTGAAGTGTCTTTTTTATTATAGATAGCTGGTAAACTCAGCGTAACTGAGCATTAAGACCTACAGTGTCACTATTTATGATTTTTAAACTAACCCACACTCTCGATTTGCCTGTTTTCAGGAGGTCCAGAAGCAGGCGTCTCTTTTCTCCCTTTACTCGGAGGTCCTGTCCACGATCCCCTCCCTGATCATGACTCTCATGCTGGTGGCCTACAGCGACCGGGCGGGACGCAAGGTCACCATCATCATGCCTTTGATCGGCACGCTCCTCTACACCGTGGCCTTCCTGGCCGTGTCCTTCTTTGAGCTGAACGTCTACCTGCTGATCGGCTCCACGTTTCTCAGCTCCCTGTTCGGCGGCCTGGGCACGTTCCTCGGAGGCTGCTTCGCCTACGTGGCCGACCTGTGCGAGGAGGACCGCCAGAAGACSCTGCGCATGGCCGGCCTGGACATGATGATCGGCCTGTTGTCCGGCGCGGCGTCCATATCCACGGGCTACTTCCTGAGAGCCGCGGGCTTTAACTGGCCGTTCCTGACGTCCGCTYTGATCCAGTGTCTGATCCTGCTCTACGCCGTCTTCATCTTAGGGGAAACCGTGAAGAGGGCTCCCACAGACGGGTCCCCCGGGCGCGCCGCACTGAAGCAAATAATCATCAGGATCTACAGGATCTTTGCAGGGACAAGCTGCAGGTTCAAAGCCGTCCTCGCCCTGCTGATGGCCATCTTCACCAGCTTCTCCTTTGCGTATATCGGAGGCGTCAACATGGTCACCTTATATGAGCTGAACGAGCCGCTTTGCTGGTCCGAGATTCTGATCGGGTACGGCTCAGCGCTGTCCACCGCGGTGTTTGTGGTCAGTTTCCTGGGCGTGTCCGCGCTCACGTATTGCGGCGTTCCGCAGCTGGTCATCGTCCTGCTGGGGATCCTGTCGGTCGCATCGGGCATGAGCCTCATGGCGTTCGCTAAGACCACCGTAGTGATGTTTATAGGTGAGGAACAAACACATCCACAGCTACTGTGGCTCGTTTTATATATTTATATACGACATGTTTTTTTTCCCCACGCGTGCACCTTAGTTTTAAAGGGGCAATATTATGTGTTTCTCAGGCATACATTTAAATACTATACCATAATGAAGTATCTATGTCACCTTTAGTTGTTATTAAAAAGCTGTTTTTAGGTTTAAATAGAAAATAAACCTATCTTCTCATCACTTCCTCTTCTAAACGCCTTGAAATTGGCCACTGTCTCTTTAAGAACCACCTTCCGCTTCTGTCCCGCCCCCGCCGAAATGGGCGCCTATGACGCAGTTTACTTGGCATCTAAAAATACTGTACATTTCCTCAMAGGTATTTTGAATCTGAAAAGAGCTTCACTGAGTGAGAAATTGTGTTAGGAGCTCAGCAGACAGTTTCAGTTTCACTTTCAGTTTCACCCGTTTTTTGAGAGCCTGCAGGAGTCATGGGCGGGTTTTGGGGGGAGGGGGTGGGCTCTGCCATGAGGAAGCTCGGCTTAAAGACACGTCCCAGAGGCGTTTCTGGTCCCAAAAGGCGTTTCTGGTCCCCACCCGTCGTTTTGCTCCTCAGCATGGCTTCCTAAAAACGCTGCAGGATTTCTCAAACATGCATGAATGAGTCAAAGCAAGGCTTTGGGCATGTTTTTTATGAGAGTATAACATTATAACATGTTATAAAACTCAAAAAAGTTGATTTTACATRATATTGCCCYTTTAAGACACAYAGGTGTAAAACTGCAACACATATTTGTTYAAGACAATAAAACCACAAAAAAGTTAACAAGATTTAGAAAAGCTGCAGGTTTACAGGATTGTTTATGAGGTTTCTGAACTGTAAACTCTGTAATTATAAAATCATATCTCTGCTTTGTTTATTCTTCATATAACCCTACAAGGAWCCTGTTACAAAAGACGCAATATAAAAACATCACTTTTATTTGATCGCTACTTAGAGTTGCRTAAAATTTGCTGCAGATTACTGTTGTTTTATTTTACAGTGAGGATACCCATGCTTCTGAGTATCATGCCTTTCGCTGTTCTGCGCTCCATGATGTCCAAGATCGTCTCCAAGTCTGAGCAGGGTGAGTGGGTTTCAGGGCTCTTCATGAAGTGCAGAACCGTCTGTGTTTGCAGAGTCAGAGTCTACTGAAGTGGACTCAAGGTTTCTGTTTGTTTTAGCTCAAAGTATTCAATCCCCTGTACAGATCACCCGTTCACTTTAAGAACTTTTTTTWAAATTATTTTGTTTTTTGCAGGAGCACTGTTCGCTTATGTTTCCTTTCTGGAGAATTTCACGACCAACGTGTCATCTGCAGTTTTCAGCAGTATCTATTTCGCCACAGTGGCCTGGTACCCCGGCTTTGTCTTCCTCCTGTCTGCAGTACTCTGTGCCATCCCTTTATCTGCTCTTCTGTAAGTTAATTATCAGCCTTTTTTTTATCTTTTTGTCAAACAGGACAAATGTTACACGTGTAGCAAAAGCACTCAATAATAAATTCATAACCTAATTATCTTTTTATACCCTTATTAGTTTCCAAACAATTCAGCATGAAATAAAACTTTTACTGTTGCTTCATTAGTATTCTTGTCCATGCAGTTTAAATTTTATTGCTGTCAGTTCAGCAGCAAAAGGTGAAAAACAACTGTGCAGTTTCATGATTTTTTTGCAAAAAGGAATATTGTGATGTATTTGAATAATGAAATTTGTTCAGCCTGCAATAAAATCCACAGCAGGTTCGTATAATGATTTGGGTTTATTGCTTCATTCTGTAAAAGGAGCTGGATTATGAGCAATTTTTAAATTTTTGCTGAGTCACCGCTCATCAGTTCTGCTTGACTACTGTGGAAAAGAGGAATGTTTTTGTGACTCCAGCCCTTAAAAAACAGGAAGTCATGGTTCCTTATTTTTTGGYCACCATCTCATACAGTTTACCACTTTTATAGTTGTGGCAACTCCCATTTCTGTAAAACGTCTGCGGCTCCCTTTGAAATGTAGCAAAAAATGAAATTGCTATCATTTCTCATATCCTTAATTAATTTTTTTTTCAACATTCTAAGAAATTAAGTTTGTAAATCATATCTGAGGTTTCTTTCTCATTTTAATTTATGATTATTTAACATTAGTGCTTTGTCAGATGTGTTGCTGACTGAGTTTTTACCTGACTTTTGTTCCACTGAGAAAACAAAGTGGTTTTGCTTCGTCAGTCTAGGAGGTGCAGCGTGAAACCTGATCCTCCTGAAACAAGATATCCCCTCTTCTTTCACTGCACAGCAATTAGTTACAGAATTACAAAGTTCAGCAGGCTAAATCCAACAGAGTATTACCGTTGTTTTACTCAGTAATGCAGATTATTAAAACATACAGATTTTGATCACTTTAAAGTTATGAACAGTTAATATCTTACCTGTTGTGGATAGATAGCTCATTTGAGTTTATTTGRGCTAAGATGAAAGTAAATTGCTACCATCCCAAAACAAGTCCAACCTCAAAAACATTAAAGCACTTTATGTGACTGCTACTTTCTTAAAGGAGAGTTTTGTGCAAAATCAACTTTTTTGAGCTTTAAATCATGTGTCATTCCCTTATCAAAAACCTACCCACAGTGTTGCTTTGACTCATTCATGCATGTTTGAGAAGTCCTTGAACCTCCGAGCTGCACCGAACGTCCCTCTGCTGCACCTCCCCCACACAACTCCACCAGACTAGCAAAACTGTATCTTAAAAATGTCAGATGTTCATGATTTCATTGCAAAACGTAGCTTCATAATGATCTACATTTGTAGTTTCTTTGCAAAAAGTGGCTTAACGTATACGTATGTATGAGAGGATGACTGGGAGATATATTACCAAGCAACGTCTTACTGGACTCGCTCTGGTTCTTCAAAAAACATAGTTTCTGGGTTCGACGTGGGATCATTCAGTTGTCATTTTCCAAAACCAATATTATATAATGCTGCTTCGTTTCTTACAACATAATACAACTCTCCGACGAAATGTTGTAAAGGGGATGAAGTGTTGTTGTGAAGATGTGCTGAAATGGGAGTGTCAAAAATGGTAGGAGGTTCTTGAAAAGACAATGTGTTTAGATAGGCTAAGTGTAAAGTCAAATTTATTTTTGATATATAGAGTGTTTTCATACTAACTAAAGGTAGTTTACTTGATTGTGGAATAGAATTGAGTTATGTGCCTGGAAAATATATAATACCGCCCCTTTAAACTTTTCCTTTAATTTCAGTGGAATTCTATGGTTAAGTAGCCCAAGTAAAAGCAGCAGCTAGCTAGCTCAGGATTGCTTCAAATAGCTTGTTGAATCTATCATCTGAATAATTATGGCAGTTCTGATGGCAAAAGGAGTCTAAACTTCGTACCAAGGTATACCCAATAAAGGATAAGGAGAGCTTTTCCTGCTGTTGAGGCTGTTAACCAACAGAAGAGCTCACATTACTCTTGTTCTAGCTTCGTGTGTATTTAAGGAGTGCATTTGGTTTTAAACCTTTAGGGCATTTCATGGTCGGATCCTTCAAATCCATATTGGTTGGCCGATTTATTGGCACCATTTTCCCTAATCTTGGGAGATTGGAGATCGGACGATACTTTGATAAGATCGGTGGAAAAGATTGACTTCTCATCGTGACTGTATTTGTTGTCTGTATTTATTGTTTTCAGGACTGTTGCTGTGATTGGAGTGGATGTTTCCAGTGAAACCAAAAGGCCAGAGCCGTTTAGCCCGGGGCAGGACATTCTTGTTGAGGACGAGAATGAAAGCAATCCTCTTCTTAGCTAGGGGGCGATGAACTCTAAATACCAGCACCTTGTTCATCGTTCTACTCTTCAGGATCTGGTGGGTTTTGTTTTCAGCTTTTGAAACAAAATCCTCCATTTATTTTCAATATGTTTTTATTGAATGTTGTTGTTTTGAGCTAAATGATTTTGATACAAAAACAGATCACTGTTGCACAAAAATAATGTAGTTTGTTTTTCTCATAATACTTTTTTTTTTTACCCAAAGACAGGAATCTCAAGCTAAAATGTTACATAAAGGGAAGTTTGGTCTTTCTCAGGGGGGTTACAGTATGTTTATTAGGGATTTATAATAGCTTTGGAACACTGCAGCACCTTTTTCTGAACAATCGTGGCGAGTTGAACCATTTCAAGAATGTTTTGTGCATTTTAAATTTGATCTTTTGCCTGTTTTTACTCACTTTGGTCACAACTTTCTTTCATTCTACAAATACGTAGAATCCAAAAATGATAACAGGGCCATGAAAGTACAAGTTTGTTTAGTTTGAGTTGGAAAAAGTGCGCMGAAATGATCCAAGGACAATACTCGCTGGAATGTTGCACTCCTAATCTAACAGTCTTTTATGGAAAAAAGGCTTGTTGGATTAATTACAGCTGAAAAGGGTTTGAAGTGTTTTATGTAGCATGATAATCATTCATTCAAATATATTAGAAAAGTTGCAAAGTTACATTTATCTTTTTATGTTTGATTTTATGCAAAGTGGTAAAGCAGCCAAGCAAATTGAAAAACAAAACAAAACATGGTTTTAAAGTGCCTGTGACATCAATATTTTTGTAATAAATATAAATGCATTTTTGGAAAGAGAACATTGATAAAATATTGCGAAACAAATTTCACGCCACTGAGATGAACAGTTGTTGGGATATTTGCGTGTGAAGAAACAGGAAGTGATGTCAAATGGGGACGTCTGCATGTAAACAGAGCGTTGTYACAACAGCTAACAACAGAGACTGTGGAGAAGAATCTGATGTTTCTTTAGATTATTTTGAGTTTCTATCAAATGAAGAAGAGTTAAAGTTTAAATAATATTGTTTTAATAAACAAAGACCAGAGAGTTTATTTTAAAGAGTTCCCCTTTGATGTCACTTCCTGTTTCACTTTGACTGAGCCAGATCCAAAAGGAAATAGGCCGGTTATGAGACAAAATGCGTGAAATCATGTGTATTATGCCAATTTTCTTAAAAATAAAGATGTTTGACATTTTGTATTTGAAGGATAGGCATGTCACAGGCACTTTAAAAAATCTAACTGAAGGGAATAAAACAATTTCTTACTCACTCAATATGATTGTGTTTGAAAGAGAAGATTTTATTTTTATAAATATTTGATGCCGTATTATAAATTAGGCCTGTGTGTTATGTGAACACCAGTCTACATTTTGATAAGTTCCTTTGTTGGCCAAATCTATCCTCACTGAGATTTATGTGATGCCACGTTAAAAAAAAATCTGTTTTCAAAACAATCCAATTTTTTTTTTTTATTTTTATTTTTGGGAGGCTCTTATAAAGATGCAAAACACTTGGACTGGTTACATCAGTTCATTTAATAAGCAAACATTCTGGATTTGGCCACAAAGGTTTAGAGATTAAAATTKCAATAATTTATCTGAATAATGGAAGTTTGTTACTTGTCATATTTCCGCTATGGCTTAAAAACTACGGATTCAACACAAATGCATATGTTTAATCCAATTTCATTTTAGTCAATATAATTTTTAAAAGCAGTAGATAAAACTAAATGTTTTGTCTGGCATCAATGTTTTAACATTGATTGTTGTTTAATATGCACTTTAATAAAGTCCAGCATACAACAGCCTTATCCAATGTCTTATTTTGGAAAGATTTTCTAAGTAACAAATGGTACTGATAAGTAGTTACAATTCAGCATTTACCGTATATYCCAGACTATAAGTCGCTTCAGAGTAGAAGTTGCAGGACCAGTCAAACTATGAAAAAAAGTGTGATTTATAGTCCAGAACGTATGGTATATGTTGAAATATTAGATGTATTCAAAACTTTTAAGAATTTTCTGTTTATATCCCCATCAGGCAACCCACCCATGGCAGCTGGTTTCTTATTTATAAATGATTTCCAGGTCGAAGCAGGTACAGAAAATAGGTGTATGATTATTTATTTTAATCATAAATTCCTACTTCAGTGGGGGAGTAAGTTACATGTCACCTGCTGACACCATGAAGTTCAGAACATTTGAAAGACTGACTTTTCTTGGGTCACACGTTTTAGTGGGGCAATATGTAAACACACCACTAGGTGTCAGTATTTGCTCAATTACAGTTCAGCCATTATTGTATTTGTCATGCTGAGTAACTCTACTTGCATTTTTAAAGGGCTCAAAAGAGATTTTGTCATTCACCACAAACCTCTTGGACACATTAATGATTCTGCAGGAAAAAAAATTAATTTTGCAGCGTTTTCAAGGCTGCCATCTCTTGATGCAATGTGCAAAAACATGAATGAGAAACCATTTATGTGCTTGCCCAGTTGCTCAGAGTTTTAAAAAAAATTTGAATAGTGTGTCAATCTGATGATAAATGGACTCTGAAGCCATCCATCCGAATGCACGGCCACTTGTTTTCTGCACGAGTTGGTCCATGTGGAAACAAAGTGGTATGTGACCACAGAAGATAAATAATGTGGTGGAGATGAAATGTAACGGCTTTACGTTAGTCTGCGCTGAGTGTGCCACTTTAAATCAGATTAGAACTGCACATGATGCACAACAAAACATTACTCATCCGCTCTGCTTTGAACTGGACCTGTTTGTTCTTGGGAGGTTTTTTTGTTTAACTGCAAATGTGTTGTGAGTTCAGCTGACATCCCTTGAAGGAATGCATGTCGCCTACTGCCTTTCATGCAGGAGTTTTAAATTAAAATCTCATAGGAAATGACATAGTTATAGCTTTTTGTGTCCAACATTGACAATAATGATATGCAAAATTACACTCAGCTTTTATGTTGGGGGTTAAAAAGTCTCAGCTGCCATCACATCAAATTTTAGCCCAYTATCTGCGAAATTGACTGAGTTAAAGCCATTTTTATGTTTCCTAAAATGGATTTTCTGTCAAGCTGATTGACTGCAAAAGTTAATCAGGTGAAGCTGTATATCTGATGATAACTTTATGAGAGTTTCATTAAAATTCATCCAGTGGTTCATGAGATATTTTGCTAACAGATGAACAGGGGTGACACAAAAAGTTAAACGCCAAAGCTTGAAGCAAAGATCTTGCACATTGAGTACCTCTTAGGTGTTGTAGATGACTCTCGGCTACTAATTAAATCCAATTAATCCAAATAATTAAGCTTAAAATCTGTAAATATAATGAGTTATTGTAATTTTTCTGGTTTCTGAAATCAGTTATCTGCAGTTTCCATTTTGAATCGGGTTGACTCCAAAAGTTATTTAGTTGTAGATGTACATTTGAAGATAACTTCCTGAAAGCTTCTTTACAATCCATCCAGTGGTTCAAGAGATATTTTGCTAACAGATCAACACTCAAAAACGGTGGTAAAAAACATTCCCAATAAAAGTTGCAGAAGAAAATCTCATCAGGCTACAGTGCAGCTTCATAAGTTTGACCCATCCCTGGAAACTCCAACTAACATCTGATTGCAACATGTAATTATATTTGATTTTCATCCTCAAGTCTTACAGCGTGACTGTAGCACTGACACAAGTTTGAATTAAGTTAACCCCCGGAGGGTTTGAGGAGATTGTCTGAGGCAGGGCTCGCTCGGTATCAAACGTGGTTTGGTTGAATCAGAGGTGGAGGCCTGCGTGGTGTGCAGTGATGAAAGTTTTGATACTTTGCAGGGGTTTTCCCAGGGGTAAGGGGTGGTGGGGGGACACAGTCGGGGTGGCTCATGTGTGTCTGGCACGCAACTGGGTCGAAATGGATTAAAGAGGAGCTTGACAGGATAGGGTTTTAAGAGGAGGCAGGGGATCCAGGGTCTTGGGTTTCTGGTTTCCGAACACAGCTGAATCAGCGGTATAATCATGCGTGCACTGCACCACATCACATCACCAGTAAATAGCCCGTTCTCTGATGCTGATCCAGAGAGTTTCTAACAGGCCTGTCTTTATCTCAACTCTCTCCCCTGGAGGATTTATATTTATTTATATATAAACAATTAGAGGTAATTTATGTGGCTGAAGTGAAGGTGGGAATAGAGAAGCCTCCAGATCTGGGAGGATCTAGATATCTAAGGAGGATTTATAGCAGGTTTGAATGTCAGTTTTTATATATTAAATATATTGTGCAATGATACACTCGAGAGTTTCAGAAGAAACAAAAGGATGCAGCTACTGTCTGAAATTCCAACAGGCATTAACCTTCTTTTATAAAGACCAAAAAATTAGGTTGGACTTATGTCCTGATGCATCTCAGTAATCCAGGTAAAAAATCAAAAGTGATGTGAGTATCAGTCACCTGTGAACGATAGCCATGTGATGTGAGTATCAGTCACCTGTGAACGATAGCCATGTGATGTGAGTATCAGTCACCTGGAGGCAGGACTCAAAAGCCTGAATTTTGCCTGAAACTCTCAGACTGAAGAAGTCTCTTGGAAGAGAGACGAAACGTTTCATTAAAGAAGAACCCGTCCAGAGGAMCTATACATTTTATTTTCCTTTAGGTTGGACTTAGTTTGGTCATCATCTTCGCTAAGCCAAGCGCCATCTTTTATTCAAGATATTAATGTTCCATGTGTTTCAAATGGAGTACTTTGCTCTCAGATTGCAGGTTTTCATAGAGTTTCTACAAATGCAGGGAGAGTCAAAAGTCACAGGACACCCTTTTATTTCAGAAAGAAAAGGGAAAATAACATCTCTGGATCGTGAGAGAGCCTCTCGTTTAGGCTATGTCCAGAATGTGGCCACCATCTTGAAAGCAGCCATATTGGATCAAAATAAATAGAATGGGAAGGTAGAGCTTTGAGTTATCAGGGACCTCGCTTCTAGAATTAACTTCCTGTTTGAGGATGATGCTCTGTCTACTGGGAACTGAGGCTATATTGAAATGAATAGAAATAAATGTTGGAATACATCCCATCAAATTACTATTATTCCAATTAATTGTATTCAGCATGCTAACATTGTCTTGAAAAACAGCAAAATAAGTGACTCCCCCCAAAAAAAGCCCTTTATGGATTTATTGTGAACTGCGACTATAAAGAGCCAAAGTTTATTCAACACCTTCCATTCCAAGCCTTTTTACTCAGTATACAATGTCAAGCATTGGTGAGAAGGATTTTTTCAGTCTGACATTTGGATGTTTTCTGGCTCATATATGCACATTAAAAAAATGTGAAGTTTTGCACATCTGCTTTGGTGAAAAACTGAGCCGATATTGGCTCTCTTGACATTTTCCATAGAGGTTATAAGTGGAATGTTTCTATTCTGATGGGGTAAATCAACGGAGTGCAGTTTACAGTATCATTTTAAATACAAATAAACTTTACTGGCACTTACACAAGTATATTTCAGTGCATAGGAAGGGATCGCACACTTTATATATGCTGTTTATTTTATCTGCGGAGCTGGTGTTCATAGCTGATATTGTGCAACAGATGAGGTTACACAGTTGGACGTGTCTCATCAGCAGAGGGGGGAAACTACACCTGGAAAATCAGGGAAAACAGAGAAACTGTAGACAGAAAGGCCAGAGCTGATGTTCGAACCGGAGTGGAAACAATGCCAACACCCTGTGCCACATAGGCAAACCCAGAACAGAGAGCCGAAGCCAGTGCCTCTTTTCCAGTATTGTCAATAAAC